TGGCAAAAATTAAAGCCTGGCAAATGTTGTGTATTGGTGAAAATGAGAAGAAAATGATGCAGTCATACATTTCTGTTGAGGGGATCTAAATTGGTCTGACCATTTTATAATTTTGTAGTATTATATCTCATGATCTAGCAATTGTGCTTTATGAAATACTTTGTAGATAAACTTCTCCAGAAGACATAAACAGTGACATTAATTGAAGTACTTTTGTGAGAAGTAAAAAATTGTGAGTGACCTAAATGTTCAACAGCTGGTCTGTAGACAAATGCAATTATATATGTATATGATAAATTCTCTCCACCAATTAAAAAAGATACAACAGAGGTAGAGTGTAGTCTCCATACTTGCAGTGTTGATATTAATGCTTTTTAACTTTCAACAAGTTCATCTTTATTTAAAAGATCAAAGTGCTCCCTCATTTTTAAAATGATGATAACTGCACCACTTATCTCATGGTTTTATTGTGAACATTAAATATACAAATGTATGAAAAGTGTTTTTAATAGTTCCTGGTTCATAGAAAATGTTCCATAATTGTTAGCTAACACTGCATGCTAAAAACAAAAACCAAGAATGCACAATTTTAAATAAAAAATTAAGATGGAGATTATATTACATATATATAAATCAAAACATAAATTATTACTATATACTTTTTATGAATCCAATGTATGTGAAGGCATTAAAAAAATGACCTGAAAGACAAACACATATCAAAGTATTAATAGGGATTATGTGTGTGAAAATGGGAAATAATGGAAATAGGAATGGTCTTTTAAAAGTTTAGTTCTATCTACTGCTGCTTAATTTAAAGAAAAGAAAAAAAAAAAGCCTGGAAGCAAATATCACAGCTTGTTGACAGTGTTGACTTCTGGGTGGTGGAACTGAAAATTGACCTTGTATATAATTTTAAAAATTAATCAGAAAGAAAGAAAGAAATCAAGCAACATGTAAGGTGTGCTCCTAGCTGGCCTGAGGGTGGAACTCAGCAGCAATAAGGGAGTTGAATCAGTGGGTGGGTGATGCCTCTTCATCATCCACCACACATCCCAGAGGTCACCAGATTGGATGTTCTCCTTGTGGTGCTATCACTGGCTGTAAAATGTGTCTCAATAAATGTGTTGCTAATAATAGCTAAATAAATCAATAAATGATTTAGCTAAGAAAATGAATTAGAAATGCATCAGAGCAGTTGTGTGTGGGGAGAGAGGTGTGTGGGCAGGAGACCCTTTCATCTGATGAAAACTTTCAATTACTCCCATCATTTCCATCTCCTCAGCTAATTCCTGTCCCCTGTAGTATCTAGCATTTGGGTCTGAACCCCTGTGGGCTTATTCCTGCAAGGCAAATGGATACCTTTTTTGGGGGTGTTCTCTGAATTCTTTCCCTTGTTTCTTTAGTTACCACTCCTAACCATCTTTCCTCCTCTGATAAAGAGATTGAAACCACTCAGAATGTGATGGCTTGTTTCCCTTTCTCTATGTTTTTATAGCTTTATACCTTTTTCTACATTTACTATCATTTTGAGAGGTGTTCAGGAGGGAGAGGAGAAAAAAAAAGTTTGTTTTAAAAAGAACTACAGGGCTTCCCTGGTGGCGCCGTGGTTGAGAGTCCGCCTGCCGATGCAGGGGACACGGGTTTGTGCCCTGGTCCGGGAAGATCCCACATGCCGCGGAGCAACTGGACCTGTGAGCCATGGCCACTGGGCCTGCGCGTCCGGAGCCTGTGCTCCGCAATGGGAGAGGCCACAACAGTGAGAGGCCCACGTACAGAAAAAAAAAAAAAAAAAAAGAACTACAAAGTTATTTTAGAGTGTGATGATTAATTTTTTTAACATCTTTATTGGAGTATAATTGCTTCACATTGTTTTGTTAGTTTCTGCTGTATAACAAAGTGAACAGCTATAAGTATACATATATCCCCATATCCCCTCCTTCTTGCATCTCCCTCCCACTCTCTCTATCCCACCCCTCTACGTGGTCACAAAGCACTGAGCTGATCTCCCTGGGCTATGCGGCTGCTTCCCACTAGCTCTCTATTTTACATTTGGTAGCGTATATATGTCAGTGCCACTCTCTCACTTCTTCCCAGCTTACCCTTCCATTTTCTACATCTGTGTCTTTATTCCTGTCCCACCCCTAGGTTCCTCAGAACCATTTTTTTTTTTTTTTTTAGATTCCATATATATGTGTTAGGATACAGTATTTGTTCTTCTCTTTCTGACTTACTTCACTCTGTATGACAGACTCTAGGTCCATCCACCTCACTACAAATAACTCGATTTCATTTCTTTATATGGCTGAGTAATATTCCATTGTATATATGTGCCACTTTAACTTTTATTGGAGTATAGTTGATTTACAATATTGTTTTAGTTTCTACTGTACAGAAAAGTGAATCAGTTATACATATACATATATCTACTCTTTTTTAGATTCTTTTCCCATATAGGTCCTTACAGGGTATTGAGTAGAGTTCCCTGTGATATACAGTAGGTCCTTATTAGTTATCTATTTTATATGTAGTAGTGTATATATGTCAATCCCAGTCTCCCAATTTATCCCTCCCCTCCCCTTTCTCCCCTGGTAGCCATAACTTTGTTTTCTACATCTGTGACTCTATTTCTGTTTTGTAAGTAAGTTCACTTGTGTGTGATGGTTAATTTTATGTGTCAAGTTGATTGGACCACCAGGCACCCAGATATTTGGTCAAGCATTATTCCCCGGGTGTGTCTTTGAGGGTGTTTCTGGATGAGATTAACATTTGAATCAGACGACTAAATAAACCTGATTGCCCTCCCTAACATGGGTGAGCCTCATCCAATCCACTGAAGGTCTGAGTACAATATAAAGGCAGAGGAAGGGACAATTCATCCTTTCTTCCTGATTGTCTTTGCTGGGACATGGATCTTCTCCTGTCTTCAGACTGGAACTTATACCATTGGTTCTGCTTCTCAGGCCTTTGGACTAGGACCACAGACCATTGGCTCTCCTGAGTCTTCAGCTTGCTGACTGCATATCTTGGGACTTCTCAGCCTCCATAATCATGTGAGCCAGTTCCTTATAATAAATCTCTGCCAATTTCTCTGTAGAACCCTAATACAATGAGCAAGCTCTTTTATATGCCCTCTGGTTACCTCATCCTTATGATGTTTTTAAAACAAATATATGCTGGATTAATATTTATTTCTATTGAAGTTTGCTTTTTTTTTTTTTTTTTTTTTTTTTTTTTTTGGGTTCTTGCCCACCCTTTCCCCTCCATTTACTATGATCCACCCATCACATGAATTCTTCTGGGATGGTCAGAAACCTGCTTTGATCCCCAGCCCTGGGCAAGGCATCACTCTCCAATGTTTTAAATTAATTTGTTTTTTTTTTCCCCCATATTATTCTCTCCTCAAGGCCCCTTGGGTCTCAAACAGTAATTTAGGCTCTGGCTCCAAGGAGTCTTCTCTGCTTCTTTTACACATATTCCCACTATGAGACTCAATAGTCAACAACAGGGTTTATATCTCTATGAACACTGAGTGTTCCATCACTCAGATTAATTGATTTTGTGGTTTTAAGTAGCCAGTAACAGCAGAACTTAGACAGTTGCATTTAGTTCAAGCAATCTTTATAAATGTCTATGTGCCTGATGTTGTATGAAGTGCTTGGGGTACAGAGGTGAATACAACAGGGTTCCTTACTTTAAAAAATGTATGCTATAGAGCTATAGCTTTCAAGCCTTTTTGATTATGATTTATAGTTAGAAATACAGTTTATCTAATGACCATGTTCACACATATATATGGATAATTAAAGCAAAAATTTCGGAAAACAATGTCTAACTTTCTTCATGCAATGTAATTGGATATTTGCCTATTATCGTCTATTTATTTAATTTAAAGCACGAGGTCATAATACACTATATTGACTTTACAGTTCCTGATCAACAGTTAAAACAGTTTAAAACAAATAATTTCAAATAACAGGGAACTTTATGAGCATCATATTTAATTCCAAATTTAGAGCTTTTCTTACAGATTATGTGATGTTCTTTATTTTTAGCTGGGATTCATGCCTACCTCTTAGGCATTTGCATTTACATATTAATTTATCAGCCCCTTGGGTCCTGAGAGGATGAAACACAAATAAAATAAATTTTGGTGAAAATAATCCTTGAATGGTGGGAAGCAGGAAAATGTTGAAGGGGAAAGCATGACAAATCTAGCCAAGGATGAGTGACTTGATGAGGGTGGTGCTCCGAAGAATTACCTAACCTAGTCATCAAATAAAGATCAATCAGAATACCACTTATAGAATTAGGGGAACTTGGGGGGTAAAATCTAGTAGATAGAATCATGTAAGGTATTTTGTCTCTTTCATCACTCAGCTCAGGGGTTATTACCTCCAAAAAAAATCTTCCCTTGTGGTGTTTGAAAACACAATATCCTGGACCTGCCTCTGTTGCTCACTTATATCTTACTGATATGATGTTTGGGGATCTTGAGAGCAGAGAGTACCTTCTTCTTTGAATTCCTAGCATCCAGCTGAGTGCCTGGCACATCATAGGGACTCATGTACATGTCCCCTGAACTTCTCTAACACTGTTTCCTCCACTGTGAAACAAAGTTGGGCTATATGATCTGCAAAGGCCCTTATAGTCCTAACAATCTATGACTTTGATATATCTGAACTAGCCCAAGGCCCTCTGCTTCATAACAAAGCCCACATCTTTGCTGTGGTTGGTTTAAAATTATGAGTTAAAACATGAATGATTTGTGCACAGTTTAGGGACTACCCTTGCCCTGGCAGAGTAAGTGTTCTGATAAGAGCAGTTGAAAGCTTAACGCAGCAGCGCCTGCAGCAGAGAAAAGATTCCAGCCTCCAACTCCCACACAATTGCGGCTGTTCTCCAGACTGTAATTTCCTCTTGGGCTCTGGATTGGTCCACAGAGTGACAGAGGGCTGGGAAAGAGCCTCTATATATTCCTCAGAGAAAAAGGCAGTCCCAGACGGTTTTGAAGTTTTCAAAGACTTGCTTGCTCTGCTGATAAGGACTTGTGCTCAAAGCTGAGGACCTAAGCCATTTGCCAAAATGTGCAAAGGACTTGCAGCCTTGCCCCACTCATGCCTGGAAAGGTGAGTTATTTTGATTTAAGAGGTGGAGATAAGGAGAATCTTCACTCAGGGGAGGATACCCAGAGGCAATAGAGGGCCACTGTAGTTTGTGGCAAAACAGTTGGTTGATTGTAGCCTGGGAATTGCCTCCTCTCTGTTAATGGCAAGGTTTTGAAAGATCTGAGCTAGCAGATTGATGCAATATGAGATATATCATACACCATTTATATCCAGAACATCATTTCCTCTGAGGAGATGTCTATTTTATAAGCACTTGCTCAGACTCAGAAGTGTATGGTTAAGAGCATGGATTCCAACATCAAACTGCCTGGGTTTGAATCCTGGCTCCATTACTTACTATTTGTGTGGTGTTGGACACTTTATTTAAACTCTGTATCTCAGTTTCCTTACTGGTAAAAATGGATCTACTAAGTATCTTCCTCACTAGCTGGTTATGGGGATTGAATTACTGTACGTGAAATGCTCAGAACACTGTCTGACACATATGAGAAATGTGTAAATGTTAACCTTTATTAATGAACATGGAATAAGAAAGGAAGACAGATTTGCAATGAGGCAGAGAGGACTTCTCATTGTTCTTTGTATCTGGATACCATCAGATAGAAGGAGCTGGATTGCTGGACAGAAGACAGCCCTTGGGACATAGAGATTATTTATTAGCTATCATTGTTTTTTAGATACAGAGCACCTTTGAGGCTCTGTGGTTGTCTTCAGACTGGACAATGTTCTGGAGGGAATCCTAAGTATCTAGACTAAGTAAACAGGAAGAGAACAAATATCTGACTTGTTAGAAAATTTAACCCAGCAATTCTACCTGATGCAGAGAATTAGGGATATTTCTCCTCTTCTTAGTTCTTAAGAATGAATTTGATTAAATTTGTTTGATCCTACATTATTTAAAGGAAATAAAGGTGATCCTTGTACAGCCTAACTTCATCCCTAAAGGCACTGTCAATGTTTGCCTAAGAAGGCTGTGTTGTTCAATGGATCTGTACTTCTGTCTCTTACAAGTTCAGGTTTTCTTTTTGATGACTTCAACCCTAGAAATAATCTCAAAATGATTTTTAAAGTGATAACATCCTAGCAAAGGAATTTGTCTCCAACAATACTGTCTAGTGACCGGAAATAAAGACCTCTCTCACTTTGTGCTGTCAAAAGCACAGATTACTTTTAAAAGATGTATATATTTTTTTAAAAAGTAAAGTAGGACTTAAGTAACTAGACTTGGACTAGATTGTAACTAGGTGGGCAATATTGGCCATTGGACCATCCTCAGGGGGGAAGACAGGTTTCAGTGCTGGATACTGTTTATCAGCCTATCTTTTCCCCTAGAGAAAGCCTGAGAAACAGGGGGAATACAGGAGTGAAAGGCAATTCCTTGAACATGACGATGCATAATTTTTTCCATTTCCATTTTTGCAACTCTAAGAATTGCAGATTTGACTTTTACAACAATTTTAACACATGTCTTTAGCCCATTTATTGTTTGAAATCATGTACTTTCATGTAATGGGTAAACCTTAACCTTGTTAATTGGTGAACTATTGCCTCAGAATGACTGTTAACATTGGTCTGCCAGTCATTTTGTGATCCTATGACCCACTGCTTGGCATTTAGTGAAAAAGCAATAAATGTTTCTTGAAAGTTTGACATTGTTACTAATATTGCCCGATTTGTTTTTGTAAATATGCATGTTTACTGAGGCACATGGATTGCACATTTCTTTCATTGATTCCTATAACTGTTTCATATTTGATTCACTAATTCACTACCAACATTGCTATTGATTCACTTTACAAATCTTTTAATTCACAGTAAATTCTTCTGCTCCAGGATATAACTAATGTTCACACAGTATATTATAGACTGACAAAGGAGCAAGCCTTTTGCATAGATTGCCTGAAACTTTTAAGGCATATGGTAGAATCCTGTGATTATTGTGTCCTATTACATTTTTTTTTTTCATGATCTGTTACCATTGCAAATATAGTCATATTTCCAATGACTGTAATGAGTGATTTGGAGAAGTGGAATTGTAGAGCTAGAGAGCTGTTAGCACACTCTCATGGAAAGAACCTAAAACTGTCCACTCTAAGGGAAAAATGATACTTGAATAAATCCTTCCAAACCTGCCTTCCTTGGCTCTATTCATAGTGGAAATAATACTGGTTATGGAGTAAAGAACAGACTTAGTTTTGTCATTACCTAATTTGTGTCCATGAGCAAGTGATTTCACTGCCCTGGGATTTTATTTTCTTATTTAGTAAATGAATGTTGGATTAGCTGTTCTCTAACATCCTTTCTAGTCATAACATAGTTTAAATAAAGTGAAATACACCTGGTTTCAGTGACTAGTGAGAGATGCCAGTATAGGAAAATTTTTCCTAATTTATTTCTCTCTAAAAGTTTGGGAGCCAATTAATGAAAATCGTCAAGAATTCAACCTTGTGTTGAAATCATGGCTGTGGCAGAAGCAATCTACTCAGTGAGAATCTGACTTCCAAGAAAGCAACATTTACTTCATGTAAGAGGAGCTTTGGAAAATAGTCCTTTCTCAATGTTTATGGAAGCATTAAGCCAAAGTCAACTTTGACGTATTTGTAGAAACTATTGTTTTACTATTTATTTATATTTTTAAGACTATTGCTCATTAAAACTCACAGTTGACCTCACATTTTTTTATATATTTAAAGAGACCAATAATCCAAATATTTGGGCAATAAATGGCCACCACCCCGCAATTTTTACCTTCTAGCCTATTGAAACCTGTGCTGTATGGGTGGGAATCTTAGAGTCAATGGAAAAGGAAAGAGTCGAGTCAATTGAAAGTCTTATTTTTACCAGTGATTTTCTGCTATGAATTTTAGGCTTCTTTTAAAAAATTCATTTTGTTTTAAGTGTCTTGAATTTCTCTGAACAAGTTTAATTTTTAAAGTAAATATTGCTCTTTGGAAAAAGATGGAACTCTTCTGAAACAAAGAGTGTTATCATTGTGATTCCCCCAAAGTTGTCACCATTATATAAAGCAACCAGTGTGATTATTAGTTTTTGTCCATCAGGGTTGACCACTCCTGATACCAAATTTACAGTCTCTACTAAACTAAAAAAGGGGAGTAAAGGAGTAATGAAGACAGCTACCTACAAAGAATTTTCCCTGGGCTGTTAATAAAGTGTCACAAACTCTTCTATAGATATCTGACCTACATCTGATTTCTGTTTAAGATTATAAAGACTGCTAGTTGTGGAATGTGTTTAATCCATAGTTCACACAGGGGCTTCTGGCCACCTCAAGTGTGTGGCAATGCTGGGAATTTCAGGAGCTATAGAAAGTAAATGGGGAAAGTGATGTTTTGTTTTGTTGTTTATTATCATTTTACTAAACATTCAATTTTTCCCCATCTTCTTCAATTTATGTGGGTCTATGTATGGATGATTTAGAATAGAAAAGTACCTAATCAACTAATCTTGTAAGGTTGTCAAGCCACACAGAAGCAACAAACAGAGTGGGTCAAGGCTCCTGAGTCCACAGGATTAAGTAAATACAGCTTTTTCCAAAGGCATGAGCACACCCTTGGACCAATTATAGAGAAAAGATAAGCACCTAGTGAATTAAAGACTGTAGCAATGAACTTGAATAAATGATAAATGAATCAGAATGGACACAGGATCATCAAAGAAGCCTAAAGAGATAGTAGGGTTTGGGATCATGCTTTCTGGGAACAAGTATGAATTTGAAGCTTGCTATTGCTGATAGAGAGTCTTGTGACATAATTGCAAATATTTCAGTGAAACCCTACAATCTTAAGGAAGTGAATAAACTATTTAATAAAATAGCAAGGGAATGTTCCTAAGAAAAACCTTTGTTTCAATTCTTACTGATGAAACAATTTCTATTGTTTCTCTGGATTGCCTTTCCAACCTCCATACTTGCCTTAGGCATAAGGGTGAAAGACCTCTCAGAGAAATTTCAGTCCAGGTAAGGAGATAAATAAGAAAGTAGCCCTCTGTGTTGAGATCCACTATAGAGGAATAAATGCACCAAGTGCTAAGAAGCACCAAAGTGGGGGGAATGGGTGCGGAGCTCATAGAGCTTTGGGTAGCTATGGAAAACTGTAAGAAGTCACAGGGGATGATGCCTAAGGTTTATGAACTAAGCCTGAAAGGACTGAGGAGTTGGTCAGGTCCAGAGAGGAAGAGGAAAGAGAAGGAAGTCATCCCAGGCCAAGGGGCACGTCTGCATGTGCAAAGGCTGGGAGGTGAGAGGGGATTGATGTTATGACATCTTTGTGCAGTCTGTATTGTCTCTCTCATGCAAGCAAGAAGGGAACTTTGGATTTCCAGCCGCAGTTAACCACCCATGCATCTCATCCTGCATACTGTTTCTTTGGAACTTGTCCAGTGCCCATCCACTCCAACTGTGAGGATTGAAAAGATCTGTTCATGAAAAAGATTTTCCCCCATTTTGCCTAAAGACTTCAATTACTAAAAAGACAATCTGTACTTGGCACGTAGTAGGCACTTACATATTTTGTCAAAAGAATGCATAAATAAATTTATAGCACGTGGAGACAGACCTGCTTCCAGGTTGTCCTGGTGCTTTCTCTGCTTCCAAAGGGATTGAGAAGGACAAGAGCAGTGACTTTTATGCTACAATAGGATAAAGAGTGTATGTTGTAAAATAAAGAGGACTTCCTGTTTGGGGGGCAGAGTGGAGGAGATTGGGAGAGGAAGAAAGCTTTTCTATAATTTCATCAGGGAAACCTTGTTAAAGAGGTGAGTCTTTTTTTGCTTCTAATGCAAGATGAACCTCATGAAATTATATCACTTTGGCTATTTCTCATGCAGTACTGTCCCAGCTTCTTTAATGAATTACATTCTGTATTCTGTTGCCTCTTCCTATTTTTTCTTTCATTTACTCTGAGCTATGTTGAAACACCAGATATCAATTCAAAACGCTTTTAGATCCCAGAATCTTAAGTTTGGAAAGCTAACCTGAAAGG